GGCCCGGCCCACCCCACCCATCCGGGACCTCGAGCTCCCCTCCCCCGTGACCCTCCCCTGCCCTCCAGACTCGCTGTCCCCAAGGTCACCTCGCCGCGTCCGCCGCGGGGCTGCTAAATGGACCTCTGTTCTCGGCGTGGAGCGGGGGATTAAGATGCAGGGAACCCCGAAAACACTGACCGGCCTGCGTGGCCAGCCCGGGCCAGCCCGCGCCAGCCCGCGCCCGCGGGGACCCGGCCCGGGCTCCGCGCTCCGGGCCCATCGCCCCCCTTTCACGCTGGGCACTTGTCGTCTCTGGTGCTCGCTCTGCAGCTTGGCCTAGAAGTTTGTGCAAGGTTTTTACCCCCAAGCTGGGTCGGACCCGGACGGGCCTGGCGCCCTCCAAGCCTTCCTCCCCCATTCCTCCTCCTGCTTTTGTGTTTGTCTGTGTTGTGTGTGTGTGTCTGTGTGTGTTTGTGTGTCTGTGTGTGTGTGTTGTGTTTGTGTGTGTCTGTATTTGTGTCTGTGTGTGTCTGTGTGTGTGTGTTGGGGGGGGGACAAAAATAAAAACCCAGAGCTTTTCCGGTGAAAGGTGATTTGAGCAGGCTGAGAGCACTCAGGACCTGGAAACCTGATTTCAGAGGCCAGCCGGGCAGAGCCTGACCTTCGTAAAGGCCTCTCGGATAGCATTCTTGGGAGTGGCTTGTGTATTGAAGTGTGTGGGTCTACAGATACGATTTCATCTTTCCCAATGGGGGCCGAGTGAAGGGGCAGCCATGCAGAAAATTCCTGCGGAGATGAGACAGATGTCTGAAGTGTTTGGGACTTTTGAAAATCAGTACTTCCAACACAGGAGCTAATGAATATTAAGAATGACATCTTGGCCAATGTTGGACCCTGAATTCTTTATGGCTAGTTGTGACTCAATTTTAGGTGTGTTTTGTTTTGTTTCTTTTGTCCACATGTCCACAGTAAAAAAAAAAAACAAAAAAAAACAAAGTGTAACTTAACTTTGTTTCCGTTTTTACTCAATAATTGCCTTGGAGATATTTTTGTATTGTAACCTTATTCTCCTCTTATACCCCAAAGTCGTCAGTTTCCCCATTGGTAAATATTTGAATTGGATTTCTGGATAGGAGTAGGGCTTCCTTCCTCCCCTACTCTGAGCTGTCTGGACTTTTTTGTTCTATATTTAGGTTGACCTCAAGTTTTGATTTTGACTGATACAACAATGACCCTAGTCCAAACATCAGCTGAATTTAGTTTCAGCTGAAAACCACATTAATCTGACCCATGTCACATGACTTCTAGTAAAAACCAAAATAGTGTTGTTGTTATGAGAGCTTTGCTTTTTCTTGTTCCTTTCTTCTTTTTTGGTGATGTTTGGGAACCGGGCCTCCTGCAGGCTAGGTAGGTGCTACAAACTCTTTAGTATTTTGAGGTTGCTTAAGCCTCACAAAGTTGCCCAGGCTGCCTTAAATTTAGGATCCTCCTGCCTCTGCCTGCAGGCTAGCTGGGATTATGGACAGGCACTACCACACACCTAGCTTGCGTTGGGAGTTTTGAAATGCGAAGATGTTAGTAGATACCTGTGCTTTGTTATCTGTGTATTGTTGCCCACAGTCAGCCCTTGCTGATTAAAACTGACATTTGCTCATTATCTCTATGTAGTGTGATGTTGGACAACCTACTCTGAGTACACAACTTGGAGTGTACTTCCTAGTTTCCACTTGCCAGCCTTTGCCAGTTGCCAACATGTTATCTCCAAGGATCCTGGAGTGATAAATGTGGACGAACTTAAATAGAGGGTTCTCGGAGATTGAGGATTCTATGTAGATAGGGAAGACGTGTTTCCCTAAAGGCCATGTGCCAGCTGTTCCACAGTAGAAATGCGGACGTATACAGAAGGCGGGCCGCTGCTGTCTCTTAGGGCACAGTCTTTCTTTTTCTTTTCTTTTTTTTTCAGTCCTGGGGCTTGAACTGAGAGCCTGGGCTCTGTCCCTGAACTTCTTTTGCTCAAGGCTAGCACTCTACCGCTTGAGCTACAGTGCCACTTCCGGCTTTTTCTGTATATGTGGTACTGAGGAATTGAACCGGGGGCTTGATGCATGCTAGGTGAGCACTCTACCACTAAGCCACCTTCCCAGCCTTAGGGTGCATTCTTGTTTGTCTGGTTTTGGTCTTTTCATCATAGGATGGCATTAGCTCTGTGTCTGCAGGTGCTGGGCAGCCTGTGCGGCTGGCTGTTGCTCTATACGTCTTTCTGCTGCCTGAATAAGCACCGAAGCTATGAGTGGAGCTGCCGGCTTGTGACCTTCACCCATGGAGTCCTCTCCATAGGCCTCTCTGCTTATATTGGCTTCATTAACGGCCCTTGGCCCTTTACCCACCCAGGTAGGTGGGGAACATTAGAGATTTGTCATTTGGGGATAGAGCAAGAATGGGACTTTTATGTTTAAATTATTGCTGTATAATATTCAAGACTAATTCCCATTCTAATTTGTATTGTAATCTTCCCTCTTTGTTTCTACTCTGATATTATATATGGCACCTTGTGTTTCTGCTTTTTTAGAACTCTACTCTGTGTATGTGCATGCTGGTTCAAATAGGTCTCGAACTTGGGGCCTTGAGCTTTCGTCTAACTTTTTTGCTCAAAGCTGGCATTCTACCTTGAATCATACCTCCGCTTTGGGCTTTTTGCTGATTAGTTGGTGTTAAGAGTCTCTGGAATTTGTCTTCCCCAACTGGTTTTGAATCTCAATCCTCAGCTCTCTACCTCCTGAGTAACTAGGATTACAGACAAGAGTTACCAGGGCCTGGCTTGTCATTCTACTTGTAAACCAAATTTGAGATGGCTTGTTATAGTTTGCTCAATTTGAAGTATAGAGCCAATCTCAATATCTTCTACTACCCCAAACAGATGCCAATAGAACTGTATTGTACGTATTAAACTTTCTTGGTAACTTTCCATTTTTCCTTCATCACATAATACATTGGAGAGATCTTTGTTCTTTCTTCACTTCTTTGTTTGCTTCTTTGTTTGCTTTTCCTCATCCTTTCTAATTATGACAGAAGACTGGATTGTGTGAATTCACCTGTGGATGTGAATCATGGCAATGTGGCTGTTATCATTAAGAACCTTGTGCCTGTTTTGTTCTCTGGCCTTGGGAGGTTTAATGGGTTTGAAAGTCAGTAAGGATCCCTGGGCAGGGGGTGCCATTCCAAGGCACTTAATTTGCTCCTGTTTCCCCCCACCCCCAGGCTCACCCAACACACCTCTCCAAGTTCACGTGCTGTGTCTGACCTTGGGCTACTTCATCTTTGATCTGGGCTGGTGCATCTACTTCCGGTCTGAGGGTGCCCTGATGCTGGCTCACCACACCCTGAGCATCCTGGGCATCATCATGGCCTTGGTGCTGGGGGAGTCGGGCACCGAGGTCAACGCAGTCCTCTTTGGCAGCGAAATCACCAACCCTTTGCTACAGATGCGTTGGTTTCTCCGTGAAACAGGGCACTACCACAGTTTCACAGGCGACGTGGTGGACTTCCTCTTCGTGGCTCTGTTTACTGGTGTGAGGATTGGGGTAGGAGCTCACCTCCTTTTCTGTGAAATGGTCTCACCCACGCCCAAGTGGTTTGTGAAGGTTGGTGGAGTAGCCATGTATGCCGTGTCCTGGTGTTTCATGTTTAGCATCTGGCGTTTTGCGTGGAAGAAAAGCATCAAGAAGTACCATGCGTGGAGAAGCAGGCGGAGTGAGGAGCGGCAGCTAAAACACAATGGGCATCTCAAGACACATTAGCCGAGGCTTAATTCCCAGGATGGATGGGGTTGAGTCAGCCATGGAAACTGGATCACACACAGGACTGTGATGGAGCCATGTTTATAACACACTTAGGTTTACAAAAAAAAAAAAAAAAAAGGGCTACATTTATTGATCACTTTGATCAGTGTTCTAGCCAGGCAAATGCAGTATTCACACTACTTTCTGCAGTGTGGAAAGTAAGTTAGGGAAGTTGTTCTAGGAGATGACCTTAGGTCTTTACTATTGCTGGGAACCTTGGTATTCAGACAGCTTCGAAAGGAACTTGAAAAAGATGAGTGCCCTCTCTTGTTCCTTTAGAAGACGCTCCTCCAACACACACTCATCTCTGCTTTCTGTGGAGCAATTTTCGTGTACCCTACATGTTATGAAAGGAGTGTGCTCTGGAGGAAGCAGGCCTTTGATATCAGAGTGCTCCGTCTAGAGGCTCCATGAAAGCAGGTCTGCTTGAACAAAGAGGAACAGAAGGATGGGAGTGAATCTGGCACTGGTAGGAGGTTATCTACCACCTTAAAAAAACTTTTATTTTTGTTTTTTAGGTAAACAATAAATTTATTTGAAAGTGAAAGGAAAGTAGCTGCAGAAACTTCATTAGGTGAGGGGGCTCCCAAAGAGGAGTCCCCCTTTTAAATTTGGTTTTGAGACAAGCATCTTTCTATGGCGCCCAGGCTGGTCTTAAACTCATGATCATTCTGTTTCAGTCTCTTGGGTGCTGGGATTACAGGTGTGCTACACCATGCCTGGCTCCTTTTAGTCTTCTTTCTAATGAATCTCCCCTATACTCACTTGTAGTCTAGGGTCCTGAAGACCATTTGCAGGCTCTATGGTTTGCTAGGAGGACTCAGGGCTCAGCAGATAGTCTTACAGTTTTGAATTATGACAGTGAGAAGAAAGAAAAATCACCAAAGGGGAAAAGTCCATGGGGCAGAGTCTAAGGGATACCAGGCACCAGCTTCTAGAATCCTCTCCCATTTGGCTCATACAGGATGAGCTTATGACTGTTAGAAATGTTGCTTACCAGGGAACATCAATAAAGTCTCAGTGGAAGGCTTTTTTTGGCGGAGGTGGGGAGGGAGCAGGTTCTTCCTGACATATAGCAAAAATCATCGATTCTCTAGAGCAATATGTGAACTAGAGTAAGTAGTGGTGAGAACCCTTCTGTAATACCTACCCAGATACCAGCCGCAGGCCAACCCTGGAAGCAAGGCTTTTCCAAGGATGGCAGTACAGGCCAGCTACACATCAACTCTTTTGTGCACGAAACCCATAGAACTAGTGCTTTTGACGCAAGATGAATGAGGTGCGGGTAGATTTACTGAGTCCTGTTGTACAGGTTCTGCCCGACCAGGAAAACTATGCCAGTTCTCAGGGCTTTTGTGTATTAATCTCCTAGGCATGAGAGGCCATGACTAAATTCCATAGGGATTTACCATGTGGATTCCACTGGGCTTGAGATGGGAGTTCATGTTTCAGCTGAGCTGTAGGTATTGCAAACAAAAACCAAAGACATTAAATGCTGACACTGGCCTCAGAGAGATGAGGCTAATTCATTCTTTCCTTCCTTCCTCCCTCCCTCCCTCCCTCCCTCATCTTACCCTGTCTCCCTTTCTGTTGCACTTCAACTATATTCCTGTTTTAGCGCTTTCTTTGCTTTTCACTTTTGTGTGTGTGTGTGTGAAAATACTGTACAGAGGGGTTATAATTACATGGGCAAGATAATGAGTACATTTCTTATCAAGCATTGTAGCCTCCTCCTTTGTTTCCCTTTCCCATCCCTTCCCATCCCCCCCCATTTTTCTCCCCCCCACCACCAAAGTTGTAAAGTTCGTTTTCACTTTTTTTTCTTGAGATAGGTTCTCACTATGTAACCCAGGCTGGCCTCAAACTTATGATCTTGCCTCAGCCTCCTAGGTGCTGAGGTTACAGGTATGGTGACATCATGTCTAGCTCCGGTTAGTCCTCTTCCTACTTGTTCTCCTTTCTCTAAAATAGGTGCCCCTCTAAGGACAAACTAATGTGACAAGGACAGAAGTACAAGGGGAAAAAAAAAGTATTTCTTAGGGAGATCATCTCCAATGTGCTGGTGGCAGAGACAAGAATACAAGCTTAGAATCAAGAATTATTTTTTTACGTTTAACTTATTCTGCTATTCACTTGCCAGATCATTTGTGTAGACCACTTATTTACTCTTGTTCTCAGATGTTAAACCTGTTGAGAATGAAATACCCTGTGCGTATTCCAGAGAGGTACTATGTAGGTTTTTTTAAAGTCTTTAATGTAGGGGGCTTTTCATTTTTTGAGATGGGTCTCACTATGTATACTATTTAGCCCAAACTGGTGATTCTCCTCCCAATCCTGGGATTACAGGTGTGCCTGGCTCTAATGTAAGGCTTTCATGAAAAAGTGAAGTATTATTTATTTATAGATTTATTGCTTACTTATTATTATTTTATTATTTACCATGTTATTTAGACCAAGAGCGACTGGTTAGCTCAGTTGGTAAGCTAGCAAATGGTGTGACTGAAGGTCAAAGGTTAGTAGGAAGTGTCAGTCCATTCTGTTGGTTACTGGGAATCTGAACCTATTCAGTGATCTTGAAAACAGTGTCTTTGGTTCTAGAAACCAGATGGGAGGGAGTGGCTGGATGCAAAGGGAAAAAGCAGGCCAAAATGAATGTTAACCATCAGACTTGGAGAATAAGTAACATTTGGTTGGAGAGTTTTGTTGGGCATTGGAAGTACCCAACAGGAATGTCCACCTCATTTTCTATGATTCGTGTCCCTAATAGGGTGCCAGCAAAACTGTGCATTCTGATGTCAAGACTGGGAATGCTGACTTAAGCAAAAGCCTAGTAAAAACAGTGCTGTGGCCCATGAGCTAAAATAAATAAATAAAAATATATAGAGAGAAAGCTTGTTCTTGAATTTTGGCTTAGTGCAACCTGTTCCACACCACACAGGTGAACAGGCTTAATCCAGTACCAGCACTTTTCTCTCTTTCCCCCTCAGAAGTGAAAGGATTGCAGATCTGCTTATTTAGGGCACACTGATGTGAATGCATAAAAAAGTCCTACAGACTTTCCTGTCCAGGCTGGCTTTGAGCCTCAATCCTTAGATATCAACCTCCTGAGTAGCTAGGACGACAGGCGTGAGCCACTCAGTGCCCAACATTTTTTTTTTTTTGAGAAACTGGAATAAATGCTAAGGGGAAGGGGACCTCATTTCGTCTTTGTTGATGTGATAGATAGCTAATAACTATGAAGAAACTTCTCTGAGAGAAAAAGATGACTCAGCAGGTGAGATGTTGCTTTTTTACAACACAGGAAAAAGTAAGGGCCAATTAACCTGTGGTATGGCCAAACAAAAGAAATAAGTTGTTTGCATTTGAATTACTATGTAATAGCAAACTGCTCAAGAAGGATTTATATTTCAACACAATTTGTACTGAATTTTCTAAGAATAAAGTAACTTCTTATAAATACAGAGTCTGACTTTTAATTTGTCTCGTGATATTTGTGAAGAAGCTAAAAAAAATTATGCCTTAGGCTTGTGGAAATGTTGACGTCTATCCACACTTCCTGGTACCATTAGTCTACTATTGAGCATTAATCATTTCTACCATTCTTTGTTTGCTTTTGTATTGGGATGACAATCAACATACTGAAAATATGTTTACCTTTTCAGCATGTAATTTGTCTAAAGAGGAAGAAGTTAATTCTTCTTGGTTCTGCTGCCTTGGAAATGATGGTATGAATTAGTGTCAGGAGACAGCTTCTGGCTGTCCTGTGACCTGGGCTTCTAATGCCTAAAAGAGACCTGGCACACAGTAGGCTCATTAGTTGCAAGAGTGCTTAAGCAAACTAACTGGCAAATACCCTCAGAGAACTTGCCAGTGGATTGGCTCTTTGGTGCCATTTTTTTGAGTATGTGTGCCCGTACTGGGGCTTGAACTCAGGGCCTAGGTATTGTCTCTTAGCTCTTTCATTCAGTGCTCGTGCACTACCATGTGATCCACAGCCCCAATTCTGGCTTTTAGCTGTTAATTGAAGGTCAGGGTCTCAGACTGTCCCAGCCTGGCTGGCTTTGAATAAGATGCTCAGATCTCAGCCTCCTTACTAGCTAGGATTACAGGTGTGAGTTGTGGGAGTCTGGACCAGTGACACTTTATTAGGTACAGGACTGTAACCTGGGAATTGGTCTACGTAGGCAGCCCCACTCTCCAGAAACCATTTATCCCATAGGCAAAAACTAGAACAGCCAATAGATGTAAAGTGGCTTTCTCACGTTTGTTTTTTTTTTTAATTAGTAGTGTCTTGGATGTGACTATGGAGATTTTAATCATTAAAAAAATTAGCTTTAGAATAAATAAGTTAAAAAAATAGCTCTGAAGCTGGGCACCAGTGGCTCACATCTGTAATCCTAGCTACTCAGGAGGCTGAGAATTGAGGATATTGGTGCAAAGCCAGTCCATAGAGAAAAATCTCTACTTAACCAGCAGAAAGCCACAGGTAGAGGTATAGCTCAAGTAGTAGAGTGCTGGGTTTGATCAGAAAAAAAAAAAAATCAAGAAATCCAGGCCTGGAAGTGGAGTTGTGGCTCAAGTGGTAGAACACTAGCTTTGCACACAGAGAAGCTCAGGGACAATGCCCAGGCCCTGAGTTCAAGCCCAATGACTGACAATAAAGAACCCCAAAACCAAAAAATAAAGGGCACGGACATGGCTGGGAATGTGGCTTAGTGGTAGAGTGCTTACCTAGCATTCATGAAGCCCTGGGTTAGATTCCTCAGTACCACATACACAGAAAAATCCATAAGTAGCTCAAGTGGAAATGATAGAGTCCTAGCTAGCCTTGAGCAGCAGAAGCTCAAGAACAATGCCCGGGCCCTGAGTTCAAGCCCCAGGACTGGCAAAAAACAAACTCCAGGCCCTGAGTTCAAGCTAGAGTACCAGCACACACACACACAAAAGATGAGACACATGACAAAAAAAAAGCCCCTTAGTTCTGCAATGAATAAGTTCTGCTTATTCAATCCTTTGCTTACCAGCCCCTGAAGCTTTCCCACAGTAAAATGCCCTCTTTGCTAGATCCTGGGGCCTGTTAAATTTGGAAAGATCTTGAAAGCAGCTTGCCAAGAGGTTTTGTATGCAAGGGAGAGAAGGTGAATTAGGAAACATTCTGGGTTTGTTTTATTCCCAAAGCTTAAGTACAGAGGCGCACTTGAAGGGTAAGAGGAGAACTCATTTTAAGAGGCATGGTTGGATGAGTCATTGGGTCTCAGTCAATTGATAGTGACATTGTAACATTATTAAGATAGGGCGACAGTAAGACGTGGGGCGCATTGGAGAAAGCATGACTAGATCCGGGGATAAGGCTCCCATTTGGCTTCTTGAGGGTAAACGAACGGACCTCCTTCCACTTTAGAGAGGGAGAAGCAGTTTCATTCCTCTTCAGCTCGGAACATGCTGGGATCCACCAGCGGGTGGCAGTGCGTCCAGGTCCGCTCGTTCGGAAACTCGCTTGGAACTCTTAATCTGCTTCTATTCTTTCCAAAAATAAACATGACAGAATTAGCCGGCTGGGCCCCGAACCTAAAGCAAATCCAGCAGGAAAGGGAGTCATCTTTGGTCTCCGTTTACTCTTCCCTTCTATTACGATCACTGCTTTTTACCCGTCTCTAGGTCCGCCTGAGCCCAGGCCTCCAGGCAGGGGTCCCGAACCGCTGTGCAATGACTTTCCAACCAGCACCGGGAGCGAGGTAATTATTTCCTCTCCACAGCCAGTGTGGATGAGATCTGACGTCTACAAAATGGCTGAAGTCCCTTTACCTCCGACCCGGTGGAAGCTCAGCAACCTGGAAACGGGATGGAAAGCAAAGCCATCTTAGCTGCTGGAGGCAGAATTAGAGAGCCCGGCCGGACCCGGCCCTTCCCCGGCTCCACCACAAAACGAGACTGGGGGCTCGATGTCTACCGATCCGAAGACACGAACGGAAAGGCAGGGCGAAGAACTGGAGCGCTTCCGAGACCGTGTTCCCGGCCTACAGGACCTGTGCTTTCTTTCCTCAAACTTGAGTCGCTGTGGAAAGCACCATGCTTTCTCCATTTGGCAAATGAAACCTTTCGTGTTTGCCAAGGCGAAACAGCCTCAAGGCGATATTTACACCGAGAAATCCCGGCTCCAAGTCCCCCCCCC